CCTGAGATCGGAAAGGAGGAAATCTCATGAAGACAACAAGATGGAAGAAAAGTAAAACAGCAATCCTGTGGTATTAAAGCGACCATACATGGTGATTTTCAACAGTCCACATTTCACAGATAAATGAAATCTTAGGCATGGGCCATACTTGATCCGCTTCATCCACTCCGCTATTGAATTCGCAAACTGACCAATGGTGGAAGTGGATTAGGCGGATCAAGCGGATCAAGTGAAACTACCACTTCGCTATTGGTCAGTTCACTGATTTGACCAGTAGCGAAGTGGATCAAGCGGATCAAGTATGGCGCGTGCCTTTATATAAAAAGCGCGATGTCTGTCTGCCTAGATTTGTACAACCTATTTGACGGTGTTTTTCTACTGTAAAAAATCAGAATTCGCGAACCAACTTTGCCTACGATTAGAGGCAAGCGAAGCTCAAATACGGCACTCAGAAGTAGAACAACAAAAAAGGCAAATTTGTCTATAAAAAACGCTCGTTCTCATACTTACTGACTTTATAATTTTGATACTAGTACCGAGAACTGATACGCAGAAATGAGTTGGAGTGGTGAGCTCTAGCATAATTTACCGTCAGAAAGGGGAAGCCGAACCTGTCAGCTAGTCTAGTTGAGAAAAAGCTCATAACAAAAGTCTTTTAGCTCATGGATGGTCGCGCTCCATATATGAAAACTACATGTCAAACCGTTGGACATGTAGACCTAGATAATGACTGGAGCATTCTTCTAAACAAATAATTGTCTATTAGAAATATAACCATGATTTCCACAACAAAGAAAAATGCAAGATTGCGAGCCATTCTCGTGAAAATGTTTGGAAGTTAAAGGATCATGTGATTGACGTACCTTGAGCCTTTCTGTCGTCACGCCTTCGTCGGTCATGGGGGCTGCGGCTATCCCTACTTCGTCTATCATCACGATCACGTCCTTTACGGTCACGGCTACGACTTCGCCGTCTATCATGAGGACTTCTAAAAGCACCTGTCTAGAGCAAAAGCAAAACGTTA